GGCTCTTGGCTCCTTTCTATAATTCTTCTCAATACTTGGATCACAAAACCAGAATAACTATATTGCTTCTCATATGTAGTGCACATTAACTGAAGTCACATTTCCTTTTAAATTTAGAGCAAGTGAAATTTTCTTATCAACCATAAACAGAACCTCCCACTCTCTGCTAATGGTAAACAGTATTTGGAAATTTGTATGGTAGCAGGGTGCTCAAAAGGAGTTGGGTCCTAAACAAAAAAACCACAGACAGAAAACTATGTATTTTATTAATGCAGAGTATCACCATAAAGTAGACTCCTTCTCTCCAGGAATCACTAAAAACAAACATTCACCTCTAAAGGAATTTGTAAAATAACATATTGTTCTTTAAAAGCCAACATCTACCTCCAAGTCCTGGACTAGTGATCAATTATCTCATTTACAGCCTCATAAAGCAGCAGTCTCTATATGTTTTAATGCTGAGGCCAACCAAGGTACATTTGTACCTTTCAAGTTTACTGATATATAGGTTTCCAAACACTGAGGAAAGACTGTGACAATTTGCTTTGGACTGTGAAATAAAACAAGAAGATTTAATTTCATTAACATTTAGATCAGCAGACCTAAAATAACAGACTGTACACTGAAGATGGAAATAAGTCTTCCTTGCAGACATCCATTCTATTACTTCCTTGAGAACCAATAATTTCAACACATGCAACTGTTTAAACTGATTTGTTTTGTTTCATTAACACTCAGAATATTTAAACCTTTAGCCTTAAAACCTCTCATTAACAAAAAAAAATCACTACCGAAAAAAAATTTCCACAGAAGACAAGAAAACCTTACAGAAACATCTAATAAAATGTAAATTTTATTAGGAATTTTCAATTTCCAAGTTGATTCAAGTCAAATCACAAACTTAATTTACCTCCGTGAGAAAAGATATAATAAATAACAGCCCTAAGTCCCCCAAAATGATAGATTACCTGCCATGTTGATTGAACAGAAATACATTTGTATCCTAAAAATTGCTGTCAGAAGTCACAGAATATAATAATAATAATCCCTCTGAAATTAACTGTTAAAAATAGCTGAACTGCTATGTCTTACAGAACAAATAGTCTTTGCTTAGCTTATTAGCGAAGAAAACAAATGCTTTTAAATTATACAATGATCCTTGAAAAATAATTTACTATAACAGGCAATGTTGCACTAACATACTTTATGCTGATGCAAACAGAAGACAAGACTTTCACAAAAGTTCAGCTCTCATTCAAAATGATGTGCCCACTAAAAGCTGCTGGACATGCACTCCTTTCAAAAATCAGTGCTTTCATTTATGTGCCTAAATGGGAAAATCTGGCCTCAGGACTCTAAGTTTCAATTTTGAAAAAGAAAAATAAATGCCACAATAACCACAAATGACTGGCAAATAAAAGAGCATGCTGGGTAAAGCACTAAATAAATTGCTGCAGAGAACAATCCTATATCAATATGAGGACAGACTAAATCAGTACTAGCTCAACTCTCTGTTTCTTAACTTTTTGCCTTCTTCAGGATTCTAAAAAGGGCATGCATGGCCTTCACATGCTTAGTTTTTCAGAGAACTACACCAGCTACATCTCTGTTTCAAGGCAAGACAAATGCAACTACATATTCTTTGCAAAGAATAGCTGATTGACAACTTTTTTATCTGACAAGCTTCTTTGTCACATGAAAGAAAAAAAATTAAACTATAATTCTAGAGAGACTGTATTTCTTGCTGAAATTCTAGTGCAACACTCAAAATGACAAAGCGTGAACAATGCAGAGAAAAAAAATGAGCTTAAAATGAATGGCCGAACTTATACAAGATCCAAATCCTAAAGGTCAAGGCATACCTTGTCTTTCATCATTGTCAAAAGCAATAGACTAAAATATGCAAAGACAGACTGAAAACGTTCACAATTGTGCAAGTACAAAAGTTAAGAAAAAAGGGGAAAATATTTCCATGCTGTTGCACTAAAAATGTAACTGTTAAGCCAATTCTTATTTTAAAAATGTGCCGGTGTTATTTAAGAATACTGTATTCCACTCCTGTAATAAACTTTACACTTGGTGCACCATTATTTCAGGATTAGATGCTGGAGCTGGATCCATAGTGATGCAAAAGGCATGCACCATTTGCAAGAATCATCTCTTCAGTACTGACTATAAATGTACATGAAAACAACCCAGTCAGTTTGAATGCAGTGACTCATAAACAATGTTTGACATACAATCAAAACTGACCTTAAGTGAAGTCCTAAATATTTCACAGTGAAGATAAGGATCCATGCTTCTGCTGTGTACTCGTGTAACACATTGTGAAACCAAAATCTTAAAGCTTATTTAATTCTGCAGTTTGTTACAAGAAGTTTCACACCTGATACTTTTTAATAAAGTAAATGAATAGAAGACATTGACACTTCCATTATAAAAACTACAGTTAATACTGTAGAGGACTAAAATGTATTTTCTTACATAGTTATACTGCATGTATCGATTTCTTATTTAAAATGTACTGAAAACACAAATCAGATTAAGCTATGATAATGCTTTGGAATAAAGCACATTAATATGAGTATAGACCAGATTTGAACCAAAGAAAAGAAACACCATTAGAAGCATTTTTTTGTAAAAGGTAACACAGGTAGAAACATATAATATTCATCATGTGTAAATTAATATAAACCTCTCAGGATGAAAAATAGGATTTTCATTAGCATTACCAATTACCAAGTTGCTACCATGGATAAGTGCTAAAACTATGACATTTATTTAAGGGAATTCTAACTCTTGTCTCTATGTTAAGAACACATACTCAACAGGAAAGTGGTCAGTACTTAGCTACTCATTCAAAAACCCTAAAGGATTACAATGAATCCCTTAGACCTCTAGTATTACTTAATCTAACCAGAATAAGTTTTTAATCACCTTTCCCGGTAAACTAGAAAGTTGTCAGGCTTGTCCCAGTGCTCAACAGTAATTGTTTCCATGTAGGACACTAGGTTTGGTTCTTGGATTCTTGGTTTCTGTTTTTACATCTATGAATGGCAAAAGCCTAGGAATCTCTGCCACGATACTCAGCCCTAGCAGTGAAAGAGCACCCTTTTGTTACTTAATGGCAACTCTTTCAAATGACAGTAGCTTTCCTCTCAATCAATACAGCAATGAGAAGCTACTCTCTGCAATTTGCTAAATTGTTATATTAGCTCACCATTTTCTCTTACATTCTATTCTTTGTCCATCTTTGCTCCCTGATATTCAAATGCTTCCACTGTAAACCCTCATCTCTGCAAACTCTTCTGCACTTTATTCCCAATCCAGCAAAGCATGGGCTTAATTTTAAGAAAACAATGAATTAAACATTTATTCTCAAAATAAAATAAAGATAAAAATAAAAGGAATTTATAAAAGCAAAAACAACCCTTGATACCAGAAACATGACCTACAATCTTTTTCTGCATTTAATTTTATACAGACTTTGAAGGTGGAAGTAAAAACAAGGCCTGTTATGAAATGTTGAAGGTTTTATACAACATTTTATTAAACTGGCCCAAATATTCCTTTCCCATTTCATTCCAAGAAACTGTGAGTCATCTTCATAATTTCCAGCATGTAAAGCCAATATAGTTAATATTTACTTTTCAAGGAAAGAAAATCTTTAAAAACTGACACTAATGTCATTATGTAACAAAAATTTCCATCCAAACATTCACTTACTCGGGGCAAGTGTAGCCGAATCCCCAGTTTCCCTTAACTTTTCCCTTCAGGGCAGTACTCTCTCTCTTAGGTATCTGTAAATGACAAAAAGAAAACAAATGCAAGTTTCACACAAGTCCTCATAAATGCTAGGGGCAGAAGTTACACATGAACCAGTTTGTGATCAGAAACTGATTTAAACCTGTAACAGAACAGAAGTTCAACACACATAAACCAGTTTCAAAATGGCTGAAATCGGTTTATGATAAAACTGGTTGAATGTAGTATCAGACTTAACTGATCTGGGTCAAAATGGTTTATAGAACATGTGTCCCAAACCCCTTCCTGGTTTAAGTTAAACCAGAGTCCCCCAGCATCCCAGCATGCTTTTCAGCTCTAGGCTGTGCTGTGCTGTCTGCTCCAGAGAGTAGGGCTGGCCCCACCCCTCTGCTCTCTAGCAAGGGTGGGGGCATGGCCAGATGCCAGCCCAGCATGGCTCCCTAAGGCTAAGGAGGCAGGAGGAGATTTACTCTCTTCCCTTTCCCCCCAGGGACCACAGCAGGGTGTGCCTGGCTGGGTGGAACAGCCCCTGTCAGGGTAACGCCTCCTCCCCTTGCCACTACAGCAAGGGCATAGCCAGAGCCTGCCCACTGGCATGGCTCCACCATCTGCCTGACTCATCCACAACTGAAGCTGGGGCTGAGGTTGGGGCTGGAGGGCTGAGCTGAGCCAGCCTACAAGCACTGGTGAGGGAAGGCATGGAGGGACAAGTCTGGGCTGGGAAGCAGGGGCAGGGCCCTTCCCAGCCGGCTGCAGCTCTGTGACAGCCCGGCCTGGCAGCATGGGGGATGGCATGGGTGATGGCTGGCCAGCTCAGAGGCAGCTCCCTACCACAGGGGCTCATGGCTCCCTGGCACAGGGGCTCTGTTCTGCTCCCTTCACCTCCAGCTGTGACTCTTGCTCCTGCCACACCATGCCACTTCAAGTAGGTTGAAGCTTCAGCCCTGTGGCTTCTGCTCAGCACATGGAATGCTAGCTCCAGCTCTAGGCTGCCTTCTATCCACTCTGCCTGCCTAGCATGATGAGCAGCTCCTACACGCGGGCAGCATGGGTGGAAGGTGTTTGGGAGCTGGAGCCAGATCTCCATGTGCTGGGCAGAAGCCCCCAGGCTGAAGCTTCAACCCACCTGGAGCAGCATGGTGTGGCAGGAGTCACAGCTGGAGGTGAGGGGAGCAGAACAGCTCTACCAGCCCCAGCAAGTGTGCAGCTTGGGGTGCAGCTACATCCAGTGCCAGTGCAGCCCACCAGGTGCTGCTATGCTCCCCTGATCCCCAGCAGCAACTCCTCCTACCACTCCTGCCCCTTTTGCACTGTTCTGGGTGGTGGGGAAGGGTGGGGGGAAGATTCAGCCCGATGGCTTATTCCCAGCACATGGAGATCCAGCTCCTAAACCCCTTCCATCCTCTCTGCCTGCCAGCAAGGACTGCTCATCATGCTGGGAGGTGGAGTGGATGGAAGACAGCTGGGAGCCGGAGCTAGAGCTTGATGCACTGGACAGAAGCCGCCAGGCTGAAGCTTCCCTCCCACCCACATAGAGCAGCATGGAAGGGGGAGGGGCAGCAGCAGCAGCTGAAAGCAAGGGAGGCAGAACAGCCACATTGGCCCTTATCCAGTGCGCAGCTTGTGCTGCAACTGCATCCATCCAAGTGCTGCACAGTGAGGGACAGGGGTTGTGGTGGCAGCTGTGGGCACACAAGCCCCTAGCAGGTAGCTGCCAAGGTCTGAGCCCACTGTTGCCTCTGAGCCAGTCTGGGCAGCCTGTTGCCTGGCCAGCCACCACCCATGCCACCACGCCAGGCTGTCATGGATCTTCAGCTGGCTGAGAAGGGCCCTGCCCCCATGGCCTAGCCTGAGCCAGCTCTGCCAGGCCCTTCCCAGCCAGCTGTGAGTTGACGACATCCCTGCCCAGCCTGGGCATGGGGAGTTGGGAGCAATCCAGCCACCCAGCTGTCACAGCCCTAGCCCAAGACCAGCCTTCTGGGATGGGTCCAGCCCTTGTGGCCCAGACTGGGTTGCCCCAACCCATCTGTCCTCAACAGCGCCTGTAGGCCAGCCTCGCTCAGACCCACAGCCCGAATCCCAGCCCTGCAGCCCCAGCTGGGTAGTTGGCAGCCGTGGGTGGATGGCGGGGCATGCCTGCTGGCTCTGACCAGGCCCTCCACTGTGCAAGCAGCAAGCAGTGGGGAAAGCTGAGCAGACCATGCCCATGCCCGAGAGAGGAGATAGGGGAGTTTAATCTCCCTGCCCTACTTCACCTGGGGCACTGCCCGTGCTGGTGTCTGGCTTCAGGGACAAGCCTGGCAAGGGCTACTTCTTCACTTCCACTCCAAGCACACCCCGGCTGGGGTCCTACAGGCCCTCCCCAGTTATACTCAATCCTGCTGGGGCTACACCTCCCTCCCCCACCCCCTAGCACAGCTTCCCTGCAGCCCAGGGCTTGCTTTAGCACCCCCTGGCTTCTAACCTGAGACACTGTGGGCACGTGCCTGCATTTCAGGACTCAAAAGTGAATGTCTATTCACTTGCAAATCAATTTAGTGTATATAAGTTAGACTAACCTGCAAAGATTGAATCAATTCAAGCTCTGGCTTTTTGAATGTCCCTAGCCAAAGAGTTCAAGAGTTTATCCCAATACTCCAAAAATCCATAAATGTCAGCAATTAAAAGTGCTAGATGTCTGACTTGATCCCAACCATTTACTTGACCAGAAAAGACCAAAATAAACCTTCCTTATGTCATTCTTTGTGTAGAATCAAGCAAACACAAAACAGAAATTTTTTGAGTGAAAACAAGCGCATCTTAAAGGCAGATTACAAGATGGAGGTATAAATGTATTAATTGAAAATGGCTTATTAAAAATTTTATTGGCCACATATTAAAATTATCTGAAAATTGTTATTGCTTAAAGTGGAAATCCTGTGTATTCAATTAACTTTTAATGAATTGTGAGAGGTTTGTGTGTATAAGGCTCCTGAAGGGTCATTGGATTTTTGTTTTTGGAGCCCAATAAAAAAGGATCATCCTATCTCTGCACCATAGTTAAAAAAAAACATTTCCAAAGTATGTTATTCAACCATATGGAGTTAATTTTTGCAGACATAGGGGCTAGGCATAGACATTCAATAAGCCTGAGACAGAATCAATCTAAGTTATGCAGTTTTCTGTTTAGTGGCATAGTTTAGATCAGTAGTGAACAGAACACACATTCACTCTTTTGTTGGTGGGGGAGGGAAACCAAATCTTAGACTGGTTTCTGCCATTTTTAAACCAGTCTGTGTGTGCCAAACTTTTGTTCTGTTACAGGTATAGACTGGTTTCTGATCCCTTATACCAGTAAATGTGTAATGTCTGTACCTGGCCATGGAGCTTTAATTAAGCATTGCTATCCATAGACACAAGAGTCCACCTGCATGGATTTAGTTAAAGAATTGGCATGTTTGAAGAAAATGCTGTAGAAATGGCTCTTTCCGCTTTTTCTCACCCATTGAAATTATTATTATTAAACAATAACCATAACATTACTTTTAACTATGTTCACAACACAGGGCCAAAACTTGATAGCCAAATGGAAAAAAAAAACAGAGTTAATATTAATCTGAATTATTTCATCTATAGTAAAACTGGCATTGTGTCAAATGAGAGAGAAAATATGATAGTTTATCATTTATCAATTTCTTTGATGAAAGAAAAATAGTAAATTCATAAAGTGATGCTTAACGTGTAACAAATATTTCAAATAATAAACACAAATATCTTGTTTTTATTTTTCCTTCACATGTCATCCAGTTGACTGCTAAAAAGAACCATAAGGATATAGCAACAAAACTATATATACAGACACACATAACACACATTAAAAGAACGTTATTTAGGTAGTAAAATCAAGCACTTGAACATTGGAAAGTTCCAGATTTACACATGCACATGAGACCACAATTCTGTTCACTTGTCCAACTAAGTCATGTGTCTTCTGGGGGAAAAAAAATCATATAATTAGCAATATAATTAAAAATTGTGTCCTAATACATTTACACAAATAGAAGTTCCACGTCAAAAAATCCCCAAAATTACTGTCAAATTGTTTACTAATAGTTATAAAATATAACTGCACCAAAAGGACACTTTTTAAAGCTCTATTTGTTTTGTGTTAATTACAGAATAGTGATAATCATAAAATAATTAGAAAGAATATAAAGACAGCAAACAGATGATTAGGCTAATTTTAGTTGCAATTGAGAATCGTTTTATGCATACACATGTGCGCATGCGCACACACACACACAAGGCTACAAAACCACACACACATAAAAAAGGTAGGAAATCCTAGAATCAGGTTTATTAAAAAGTTTAAAAAGTTTGGTGTATGTGACTTGTACCTAATATCACACAGAAATTTTATGTCAGTCAGGGGCAGAATTCAGTTCTCCAGGACAAGATTCAACTGCTATAACCATTAAACCATTCTTTTTCTTCTTGCAGTCTCCTACCTTATTCAATGTACACCTTTGAACCTTTGTAACAAATTAAACTGTATAATCACCTTGCATTGTCACACAAGGAACCAAATTAAAATATTACAGACAGGTTAATTCAGCCATTTCTTAACTGCTGAGTGCTTAGCTTGCAAATTTAACAATATTCTTCAATGCAGTTTTTAAATTTCCTAGTTTACTTCAAAACAAACTAAAATACCACAGAAATTCCCTTCTGTGATATTTGGACATTCGCAGGCCATCACTAGGGTTAGTACCTTCAGGCATACTGTGAAGATCTCAGTTCTTTGCGCTAATGGGCAATTGGTAGCCACAGTAGAATGCTATCCTCTATGTAAACAAGCAGCAAAAGGAAAAAGGAAATCATGCCAATGGGTTCAACAAATATTTGTAGACTGCAGAGTAATGCTAAGACTCCCAGATCCTAAGTCCTGTTTCAGGTTCTGAAATGGAGTCCTGTTTCAGGCTCTGAAACGGACTGTGCTCTAATCACACTGGCTGTGTCTACACATTCATTAATGCACTTTATGTAATGTGCATTA